AACAATGGTATAACACTTTGGAAAATTCAGCCCAAACCAGAAAGATTATTTGCCAGATTAGGTTGGAGGGCATTGTGTTGACAGGATGATGCCTTCTTCTGGACTTGATAGGCAGACTCATCAGAGGGAAGCACCACCCTGTCAGGCAGAATGTCCTCTGACCTAATCTCCAAACAGAAATTCATGGTAAGTTCCGTTTTCCCAGCATCATTTATTGCATGCAGCCAGGAATCAAGCTGCAGGAGTAGAAAATAAGCAATTGGAAGTATCAGAGAGGCACGAAAATGCACTCAAAGCACATTTTGATTGGTGTTATGGAAGTCCTTTTCCAAAATATTTGAAATCTTCTAAATTACTCACAGCTAAAGAAAAAAGAGCTAATTTTCCTTTCTCTTGTATTTGCCACAGTGAAAAAAGCTGGTTCAATTTAGGGAATTGTTTTGTATTGTTGGCTCCCTGGGTTAATTTCCATAGTTCTCATTCTTACAGAAAGAGAGAGTCTCTCTTGCAGAAAGTCATCTTAAGAATATGTGCTGTACCTGGCACAATGGGTTCTTGATTAGGATCTTTATAACCTAATGTAATGCAAATAAATAAATGTTGATAATATTGTTGATAATATTGTTGATGGAAACATCAGATTAGTTTAATGCAGCTGCTAAGATAACCAATTATTTTCAGTGATGGCAAAGCTACTATCTTTTTATTGTTATTGAATTTCATTTGTGATAATGGAATATTTTCATTCCTTTTCCTGTTGAAACCAATGTAAACTAATGGCTCAATATACGATAAGAAAGCACAACACCGAAAATAGTTCTATTTTTGTAAATAAATTACTTTGAGTTATCTATTGCATGCTCTAAAGTAAATGGACAGCTGCGTGTTATTGGCAAGCCATTAGTGTGCAAAGATAATGTACTTATTGCTTAGACAAAAGGTTGACACAAGAGCTCAAATCAGTTGATTTTTCGATTTCAGGCTTCATCCAGACTGTCTTGAAAACTGTTTAGCTGTACCTTTCAAACACAGAGATAAGAATCTGGCACTGTTTAAAAGGCTATTTCTAGGCTGTCAGTCACCTGAAGTCCAGGGAGATGTACAGTACATTTACCTGGGACATGCCGTTTGTAGACACAGTAATTAGATCATTTATGTGGCTGTGTGGCTTACAAAGATACAGCAATAAATAAGAAGAGAGATAAGGAAGATGACATCACTGATTGTGCATTAGGCCCCAGAGCTGTGACTTTATCCTTGTTCATCTTGTTGCTGTTTGAAAGATGGATCCAGCAACATCCTCAGACTGTGAACCTGGCCTTCACAGTGCAACCCTATCCAGAACGGGATTAGTCGTTAAAGAAATTTTTTAAAGGCTAACTCATTTTTAAAACGTTTCGCATTTGTTTTAAAACTTCCTCCACTGTGTTGGGTTAATCCATCGCTTAATGTCTTAAAAATCCCACAACCCTAGTTCACATTAAAGGGTCTTTCACTGAGATCCCGAGGCTGGAGGCTAGTGTCAGAAAAATTGAAACCATATAAATTAATGTAGTGTATCCACGGAAATGTTTGAAATCAGACTCCAGGAAGGTTAACATCGAGTGTACATGCTATACTTAGCTTGACGCCCCCGTCAGCTCAACTCAGTGTTAATCAGTTAACTTCAGTATACTGAATTGTTTCTGTTGTAAAGGGAGGATTCTTAAAAGTCCACTGTTTTGGAGTTTCAAGGAAGTATATGTTCAGTCCTTCAACTTTAGGATAAATACCCAGCCATAAAGTGCATTTGCTGCCTTCCACAGAAACAGATCTCTGCTTCCTTCCTAACTGATCCCTTGCTCTGCCTAATAATAATAATAATAATAATAATAATAATAATAATAATAATAAATGTTCTGTGGAGACTTGGATCTCCAGGCCTGGATTTTCCACTAAATAAGTGAAATCACATAAAGTGGGGGACACCTCCATTTTAATAGGGAGGGCACTATTGGAAACACACCTGGGAAGGCCACCAACTTCCCAAGACTCCGGGGTGTCTCTCTGGTGGTCCTCCCTGGCTGTAAATCTCCCTCAGGCCAGAGAGACCAGTGATAAGCGGCCCCTCCCTCCTGAGAGGAGCACACTCGTCTTCTGGCATATCATAGCAGAAGAAAGAGTCAATTGTAGTTCTAAAACTACTTTATTTACAGTCTATATATACAGAGAATCCTTCTGCATATCTGTGCTTTTTGAGCACCAGTACAGAAAAGCATCACAAACAGAAGTGAAACTAACTTCCAACAGTACTGAGACTTCCTGTCTCATGCTCTCTCAGACACACGATGTACACAAAACATAGTGCTACTGCTGGAGAAGCACGGATGGATAAAAATCCTAACAGGCACATGGGGAGGAGAGAGAGAAAATGAGACTCACATGCACCATTGGGGCTGCTGCCTGGAAATCAGTCGGGTCTGCTGTCCAGCCTGTCCCAAGCCTTCCCTTGATTAAGGATGCTTCCTGGAACTACTTCTGTTGCTCTGTCAGTTCCTGGAGCCAGGGGTGGAGGAAGGGGGGTGCGGGCCGCCCTGGGTGTCACCACTGAAGGGGGTGACAAAATGCCAGGCGGCACTCACCGCAAGGCCTGCAGTGCGCCCAAGCCACATGTCTCTCCTGGGTGAGACGCAGTGGCTTGGACACGCACAGGCTCTGTGCTGCCCAAACGGTCTGCCCGCTGCCTTCACTCCCAGCTGTAGGGCAGCTAAGTGGGAGGAGGCAGGCATGTCAGGAGTTCAGCTTACACTCGAGTAGGAACCTGGCAGAGACACATGCCCGACTGGCATGTTCCCTCTCTCCTGGTCAATCGTTCGGGAGCTTCAAAAGCTTTCTTCAGCCCGAACAGCACAGCGACCAATGCCAACAGACATTGGCACACTTAGGGATCCGCAGAGTCTTTGCAGCTTGTGTGACAGAACCCCAGCAACTCAACATTTTGGCTAATCTTCTGTATTTACATATAAATACACACGGAGCACTGCAACATGGCTCCCTCTCTCTCTCTAGCATCAGGCAGCAAAGAGAAAAAATACAAAGGACAAAGTCCCACTTCACGGAACACGGTAACACAAACATCCTGTCTCCGTCACATCCCACTCTGTGGAGTCAAAACATACACCGTCATGTGATAGACAAAAACCCCATGACTGCAAACATGGAGCAGGAATTCATAGATTAGGTGGCCCCGTGGTGCGCCCCACCCCTGGGTGTGGCGTCCCAGGCGCCTTCCCTCAGTCACTTCTGGTCAGCAGCCCCAAGCGAAGGGAGGCCAATCAATATATTTATTTATTTCATGGCAACCCGCATAAATGTGGTCATGTTTGACTGGAGTGTGCATTAGTGTGGAAGGGGGATGCCTCCATTGACACCAGAAAGAAGTTTAAAATAGTCCTTCCTCCTTATGGCACGGAGAGTAGCTGTTCTGCATAAAGGGACCAAGTTAACCATCCTCAAGGCTGCCTGTGTGGCGTAGGTCCAGACATTCAATGACTAGATTGCCCTGTTTCCTGCAACTCTGTGGGTTCCTTTGTAAACAACATAAGTTGACTATCAGGCATTTGAAAACTGGATCTCTTTACTCTAATACTGAAACATCTTTTTTCCCCTCTGCGTATATATTTTGTTCTTAATAGTAAGCAAGTCTTGTTATTATAATGAGTAGATCATTCTGATCATATGAAGGGCTTGATTTATTTTGCATGTATATGGAAAAGAGATTGCTGGTCTTCTTCCGTTTCTTCACAAAGAGAAAATAAAACCATATTTTCTTATTTTCTCCCAAGTTTCCCCCTCTAAATAAGATGGTTGTATTTCCAAAGTTTGGCCAACATATTAGTAGGAAATTAAGTTTCACTTTTTTGTAGAGTGAGCAAAAAATGAATAGAAATTGATCTATAATTGCCTTCCCTGAATCAATGGAACTGTGGGTTTAACTTTTCTTTTTCTTTCTTTTCTTTTTGCATAATTTGTCTAAGTCAAGTGGTTGACGGGGCTCTGAGTATTCATACAGTAGATTAAGCAAGGTGATTTAAGTGAAGTTGACCAGGATGTGCATGACTGCCCTTTTACATTCTCATTTCTACTGCATTAAATGTCAAAAAGAAGTGTTTGTTCAACTGGGCCTTCTGAAGTTATTTTGGTTGCCAGTTTTATTTTAAAAATAACAACAACACACAACTGTTGCTGTACATCAGAACAAGCATCTGAGTCCGGAATGGGCTTTGGTGCAGTGATGACATTCTCAATCTAAGTTTCTAAAAGTAATCTAAGATATAACTGCTGCATGCCAGCCAGTTTTATCAATGATAGTAACCTGAATAACTCTAACTGCTACTTACAGCTGTTATAATTTTGACTGTAGTGATATTACAGCAATGCATTGCCCATGCTGCACTAAAAGATAGATTGGAATATAAAGCAAAGCTGGATAAAAGATAAACAACTGCAAGATGCAACAAATGCAAGATAAAAACCATGGGTAGGCAAACTAAGGCCCAGGGGCCGGATCCGGCCCAATCGCCTTCTAAATCCAGCCCTCAGACGGTCCAGGAATCAGCATGTTTTTACATGAGTAGAATGTGTCCTTTTATTTAAAATGCCTCTTTGGGTTATTTGTGGGGCATATGAATTCATTCATATATATTTTTCAGAATATAGTCCGGCCCCCCACATGATCTGAGGGACAGTGGACCGGCTTCCAGCTGAAAAAGTTTGCTGACCCCTGATAAAAACAATATGACAAGCACTAGATTGAATATTTATTTATCTTATTTAAAAGCATTTATAAACTGCTTAATATTTCGAAAAACTTTAAGCAGCATTGAGTCTAAGAAGCGAGCAATATATCTCTAAAACAAGAACAAACAAGCTGAAATCAATAAAGCAGCAATATAGAAAACGAAAGTGAATAAAAAAGAAAATCAGGGTATTAAAAAAGAAAATTTCAAAAGGCTTCAGTCTTGAGGATAACTTGGTCGGTAGAGCACGAGACTCTTAATCTCGGGGTTGTGGGTTTGAGCCCCACGTTGTGCAAAGGACTTCTGCATTGCAGGGGGCTGGACTAGACCAGAGATTCCCAAACTTATCTGGCCTACTGACCCCTTTTCAGAAAAATAATAATACCCAGAACTCCCCTGGAAATCTACTTTCTTCAATGTAGATTAAAAACCCATGGGGCTAAAAAAAATGTTTAGAGATACTCTCATTTTGACTCGGGAAAATCAGCATTTTATAGTTCAAGGCGGGGAAAATAAATACAGTAAATGGACAAAAGTACAAAGAACATGCATTACCTCACTGTTTCACACATTAAACGCTCACTTCCATCTGAGACTCAGGAAATCCTGTGACAGGAAATGAGGCAGCCATCAGGGGTAGCAATGGAATTGACAAATCACCGTGCTATTCAGCAGAACTTACAATTCACCATGCTAGAGAAAAAACTAAAAATTGTTAAAAAAATAATTAGTGAATCTCCTGTTAGATTCACAGAATGTTTAGGGGTACGCGTACCCCTGCATACCCCCAGAAAAAACACTGGGTATAGCAGAAAGAAGGGCAGTAATAATAATAATAATAATAATAATAATTTATTATTTATACCCCGCCCAACAAATTCCAACAAAATATTAAAATACAATCATCAGTACAGTACAGAGACAACAGTAGAAAATGATGTTCCGCCAGCACAGAAACACACACATGTGTGCCTCTAGTTCAGCTTTTCTCAGCCTTGGGTCCCCAGATGTTGGTGGACTGCATCACCCATCAATCCCTAGCGATAGGGACAAGTGATCAGGAATCGCAGGAGTTGTAGTCCAACAACATCTGGGGACCCAAGGTTGAGAAAGGCTTTTCCAGGTGTACCACGCAGCAAGCTGACCACAGCACTCTGCGCCAGACAAATTACAAAGGAAGCCCTAGTTAGAGTGCATTACGGGAGTCAGATTGTGAGGTTACCGACATATGAACCACAGTGGCTTAAACTAGCCCCATCCATATGTCCTGGGCTTATAAGTTTAAGGCAATTTGAACAAAAATTGAAGACAAGTCCCTAGCCAAGCAAGGCTTAGTTCCTTAGAGAGGAACAAAGAAATGTATTTTTTTGCACCCAACTATATAAGGAGGGACAAACCTAGATAGCATCTTAAAAAGCAGAGACATCACCTTGCCAACAAAGGTCCGTATAGTTAAAGCTATGGTTTTCCCAGTAGTGATGTATGGAAGTGAGAGCTGGACCATAAAGAAGGCTGATTGCTGAAGAATTGATGCTTTTGAATTCTGGTGCTGGAGGAGACTCATGAGAGTCCCATGGACTGCAAGAAGATCAAACCTATCCATTCTTAAGGAAATCAGCCCTGAGTGCTCACTGGAAGGACAGATCCTGAAGCTGAGGCTCCAATACTTTGGCCACCTCCTGAGAAGAGAAGACTCCCTGGAAAAGACCCTGATGTTGGGAAAGATGGAGGGCACAAGGAGAAGGGGACGACAGAGGACGAGATGGCTGGATAGTGTTCTCGAAGCTACCAGCATGAGTTTGACCAAACTGCGGCAGGCAGTGGAAGACAGGAGTGCCTGGCGTGCTCTGGTCCATGGGGTCACAAAGAGTCGGACACAACTAAACGACTAATCAACAGCATGTAAGGAGGCAAAAGGCTAGGCTCTAGTTACAAACCTGGGGCTAGTGCAGTGATGAGGAACCTCTGGGCCCTTTTGATTTTGTTGTACTCCCATCATCCCTAACCATTAGTCATCCTGGCTGAGGTGGATGGATTCCTGCAGCATCAAGATGTTTTGCCATCTAGGTACCATAAATTCTTGAGTGTTCTTAAGCACAGCGATGTGCCTATTTCCAAATCTCCCCAAAAATAATATGCTGGGAAGCCGTGCATGTTATATTATTTGTATGATAACTGCAATTATCCCTTGATAATCTGAAAGTGAAATGGGTAATTTCACCTGTCATTTAAACAATTCATAAACTCACTTTAACTGGCAAGCACATTTATGGTTTCATTTTGCTAATGGCTTTAGTAGAAAGAAAATAAAGCTCTTATTGACATTTACTATGACACTGGCTGTTTAAAAGAGCTAATTAAACTTGAAAACCTAGTTTTTGGTTTTTAGAAGGTGATTATCACTGGCTTAACAAAACAACAAACCATAAAACCCTAATAACTTATTAACCATAGTCTCTGTAGTCTTGAAGGAGAAATTGTTTTAATATAACAATAGCTTATTAAACTACTATGGAAAAGTATAGATTAAACTGAGAGTGACTGTAAAATAGCACAACCTTGCATCTTTTAAAATAATAAAAATAAGAATAACCAATTAAAACATATTCTTATAAAAAAACTTAATACTATAAATACTGAAGGAATACTTTGTATCATAAGTTGTAATGCTGTTTTAGTGTATACAAAGTAACATATTCAAAATATAAGATTAAAAACAAATAAAATGAAACCTACATACAGCAACAGTGTTTTGTGTTGTGTAGGCTCCTATGATGTGAGTGATGGGCCCCACCTGCTAGCCTGCTCCCTAAAATATCACTGGTTTGCTCATTTCTATATATATGGTGCCTACATTCTGCACGTGCTTTAGACACCTATTAGGTCCATAAATTACCATACAGTATAGCATATATTCAACACAAAAAACAGTGACAATTTGTTGTCGACAAAGGACAGCTAGACATATAAAGGGCCCCATTACCTTCAGTAGCTTAGGGCCTCATCAAACCTAAATCCGGCCCTGATTTGCCATACAGTGGTACCTCGGGTTACAGATGCTTCAGGTTACAGACACTTCAGGTTACAGACTCTGCTAACCCAGAAATAGTACCTCGGGTTAAGAACTTTGCTTCAGAATGAGAACAGAAATCAGGCGGCGCAGCGGCAGCAGGAGGCCCCATTAGCTAAAGTGGTGCTTCAGGTTAAGAACACTTTCAGGTTAAGAACGGACCTCCGGAACGAATTAAGTTCTTAACCCAAGGTACCACTGTACTTGGTTTGCTGATGTTGGATTCCCGAACATGGTTAGGTTGAAAAGAGTACATGATGGGGTGATTTGAAGGCATGTTGCAGGAGGACATGAAGAATGTTGGGATCTGAAAGACCCAACGCCTGCCCCATCTGCTGGTACACACCTAAACCAGGAAGTAAACTATGCCAGACATGAAGTTGGCATCGTTTGGTCCCACTTATTTCTCTCCCCATGTTTACTAATGGGAGGGGAAAGTTTTTAAAAGAAAAATCCTGAAAAGGGACAGAGGGTTCACCTTCACGTCCACCCTTCCAGCAAGATCCCAATAAACAATTAACTGCAATTGCCCCATCTAATTAGGTTGTGTGTTAATATATCAGCTTTCTCAACATGAACAAGATATACACTGGAACCCAGGGCCCACCCACTTGCTGTCCGGCACAGAGCCACTTCCTTTGTTATCTTAATAGTTCAAACTTAGAAGGCTATTACCTCACCAGGAAGCTAGCCAGGAATTGAATCTGTGCTGGATCCAGGAATTAGAAGGATCTCAGAATTCCAGCCTACCCACCTCTCCAAACTTGTAACGCTAGATTTCCTCCCTCTTCCGTTTTTCACCTTTCTTTCTTATTTTATTTAAGCCGGTCATCTAGGTAGCTTTTAAAATTCCTTGTATCAGCGGCTTCCTGCTGCTGCACACTCCGTTATAAAGACTGTTGAAACTAAGAGCTATTATTTTCTTCCCAATCAGAAGTAAATACAATAATCTTACTCCTGCTGTTTGAGGTTAACTTGCCAGTGAGCTTCTCCAGGGCAGCGTGGTGGGAATATGAGAAAGTGGTAGGATGGGGCACCAGCTAATAACAGTGTTTATGGTCTTGTACCTGCGGTGATCTTGAGGTAATACCAAGAGTTTGCCAGGAGAAGTCAAAAGGTTTGAAATACTTCCTCTGGAAGGGTGCTAATTCATCATGGTAAGCGGTCCAGACAGACGGCTTTCCTAAGCGAACAGAACATATAAAGTATAAACTGAAAGCAACAACGGCTGAAAAACGTGAAGTTTTCCTTCGTATTCCAAACAGTAAATTACTGGGTGCGCTCAGAGTTTAATAAGCTACAAAGAAGCATGAATTATATATCATTACTGTAGTGCCTATATCTATATATCTATATATATCTATATATCTATAGATAGTTAGATATAGATGTAGATATAGATATAGATAGATAGATATATGTTGTTTTGGCAGATTGGTTTCACTTCTTTTATTGTGCATCAGCGTGCAATCTAAGTGTGCTAAAGAGGATGTATGAAAAGCTTTAAACGTGTTGTCAAGAATAGTCTGCCCTCTTTATAGCATTTGATGACCCTGCCATGCAATGGTGTAGCCAGGATTTTTGTGGGGGGGGGGCAGGACTTGGTTAGGGGGGCAGAACTGACATGATTGGTCAGTTGTTGTTGATAATAATAATAATAATAATAATAATAATTTATTTATATCCCGCCTTCCCCAGCCGAAGCCGGGCTCAGGGCGGCTATACAACATTCTAAAATCATTTCATTAAAAAATTACTTCAAATCAAATTGATGGCAACCATTGGGCTAGAGTTCTGAGAAGATTGCCAAAGGAGGGAGTCAGGCTGTGCCCTGCCCAAAGGCTTGGCGGAGCAGCTCTGTCTTTCAGGCCCTGTGGAAAGATGTCAAGTCCCGCAGGGCCCTTTTATTGTTGTCAAGTCATTTAGTCGTGTCTGACTCTTCGTGACCCCTTGGACCAGAGCAAGCCAGGCACTGCTGTCTTCCACTGCTTCCCACAGTTTGGTCAAATTCATGTTAGTAGCTTCGAGAACACTGTCCAGCCATATCGTCCTCTGTTGTCCCTGTCCCTCAGACCTTGGGGGGGGGGCTGGGCTATATTTTGAAGAAAAAAATTGAACAAATTTATATGCCCCCAAAATAACCCAGAGATGCATTTTAAATAAAAGGACACATTCTGCTCATGTAAAAACATGCTGATTCCTGGTCTGTCCGCAGGCCGGATTGAGA